TGGGTGTGGGTGTGCGTGTGGGTGTGGGTGTGCGTGTGGGTGTGGGTATCCGACTGTGGACGCGAATTTAGTGGACACACACAAGCATCCTAAACACACCGACATCGCTCACACCCACACTCATACCCACACTCACCCACACCCACATCCACACTGGCTCAAAGGTGATAACAACCGTAAAGACGCCTAACGCGAGTGGCAATAATAATGAAGAGATACATTTCAAACCATTATGGAGTTTGAAACCAAACAATCGACGAGGTATGAATACGGATTGATCCGTTTGTGTGCTTTGTTCATGAGAAACCATTTTTTCTTCTTTAGTTGATCCTTTAGAAATAAACGAACAAATTATTACCAATGATAATAACTAGAGTCGTTACTGTTCGTCGCTGAGAATTCAAATAAAATAGAAAGTGTTTCCAGTACTATAAAAAACGAGAAATAGCTCTCTTTTGACTTTAACAAAATCATGCTCCAACAATGTTTGATTTGGTTCCCTTATAAATTCATATATTGATCAATAGGATGTAACAATTTAGTCCAAAGTTTTTTCTCTTAATTTTGTCACATAGAGATGTCACTTGTCGTGAACATTGCTAAACGTAATATACCATCGAGAATAAAAATACTTTCATCAGTATGAACAAAGAGATCGCATTCATGATCATTATTTCAATCTCGCTGAATGGCTTATCAGCGGCTTTAAGTGAAATGACTTGCCCAAAGTTTTAACATCTTGTAAAAAGTTAGAAATAAATCAGCAGTGTCCAAGTTCCGTGAATTCTGAACACTTGAGGAATTCTAAACTCAAACATTAACATAAATTCAAGAAAAAGAAGTCAAGGAACCCAAGCCATCCCAGGAATGGATGAGTGCGGGTGTAAGTGTCAGATGTGGGTGGCGGGAAAGGTAAGAGTGTGTCTGTAAGCACAGTTATAAATTGGAGTATGTTAGCGTTCCTTTCTTTTCACCAATACTCACATTCTGCAGGCCAAAGTTTCCTCGACCTCCCTGTTCTCTTTCGCTTTCGTCGGTTCCTCGGACTCTTTTGAGTTAATTCGTTATGATTATTGACTTCAGAATTCACGAAATTCGGACTTGTCTCTCTTTATCATAGGACTGATTAAGCTGCAATCTTAGGGAAAATGAACAAAACTCAATTCGAATGATCAGAGTATCTCCTGTCATTGATCAAGTTTTTTTTTCTGAAGATATTTCGAACATTACTTATCGTTTTAATTCTGAGATTGTCTAATAAAGTCTCCAGCAAACTAGCATATCTAAGAACAAATAGGAAAATTTTGGAATTAGTGAACGACAAACACAGCTACTGAAACTTCTACTCGAGCCCAAATGTATACACATAAGAGCTTTCCGCATTTTCAACTTTTCTTTCATGTTCAATGCCATCAAAGATCTTTATGTAGCATGAAAGCAAGCAAAACTCGCAGGAACATAAGAGAAACCCTCAATCTATGTTGTACATCCTCCCTTGCCATATACAACGTAGGAAAGATTCATTGACATCAAAAGAAATCAGATATTGTCTAATGCATCGTAGAAACGTGTTTGGAATAAAAATTTATAAAGCATGATAAATATGATGAGACATTCACCGAACAAATAATGGCAAATCATGACCAGCAAAGGATGTCACAAATTCCGACTCAAATAACACCACTGGTATGTTATACGCATGTTTGCCAAAATGAAAGATTTACTCGTAAGCCCAATACCTATAAAGCGAAAGAAAACCGATTCACTCATTATAATTTCATCATGGCTTTTTAAAACTCTTCAATATTTAATCTATTACCTCTTTTCATTACATTTATTTGGGTCAAATTATGATTATCATAATAGGGAGTGGGTGTGAATGAAGGAAGGGTTCATATTCATAGTCACACTCCTTCACACCCACACACCGACACCCACATCCACACCCCACACCCACACCCACACCCACACCCTTTTAATTTGATTCGAATATATCTAATCTTATTAACTAATAAAAATCATGAAGTTGATGTTTTTTAAGAATTAAGTCGACATTGAAAGAGTATACAATAAATCTTTTGTGTATAATAAGATTAAAAAATGAATTAACTTCTTCTCTTATTTATCTCATGATGATATTGATTGTTCAATATAATGTACTTGATGCTCAAGAGGTACCATTCTTATTGAATGTATTAAAAACTAACATAGTCAAAATGTGTTCTACACTTTCAATCTCGTATTCAATTTTTTCATTATTTGACATTAATTTTTATTTCATTTAACCGTGAAAATAATGAAATAGGTATTTAAGAATGTAATATTTGGCTAATACATTCTAAAATCAAATAGTAAAATAATCCCACTACTGTCCTCTTTAATATGTATTGAAGGTGTACAACGTCTATCTAATGTATTTATAAATAATACAGTAAGACAAATTTATTCCATTGAATCTGGAAAAAAACTTAATTGATTCTGAAAGAGGGTGTGGGTGTGGGTGTCGGTGTAAGCGAATAAAATATCAGACCCAAACCCACCCACATCCTCTTTATTTATGCTGATTTCTGGGCCAAGCCACGACGTGCTCTTTTCTTGGGCTCTAGAAAACTTTGAGAAGCGCTATTTTATAAAATGATAGATCACATATTCACGTATCTACATAAACGGTTAGATTCTGGAGAAGAATATTTGCGCATATGTCTGCCTGATTGCCCACTGTGCTCCACACCAACACCCATATCATCACCCCATCTGCATGATTTACTTGTAATTGAAAATGTTTTGCGTTTTATCGCATGATAAAATAAATTAAATTTTTTCTTATCTCACAAATAAATAATGTGAGATAGGACGGCAATGTTTATATCTCGAATGAGTGCTTATCTGTTATGGTATATCAGTTTTCAAACACGGAGAACAGAAAGAAACAGCGAAGGAGAGAACTATTTTTCTCGTTTATAAGTATCTTTGCTACGCACATTCATTTTATCAAATTTCAATTTACTAGATACGTTGATGGGTGGCGATATAACTGGAGAACTGAATTTTTTCAGCCATACAATCGACAGCCTTACTGCATGGATCGATACAAGTTACATGTCGGTTCAGCCACCTTCGAATTTTGCACACACACCGGCTCGCGTTACTATTTACGATCTAAGGGACAAAGAAAACACTTTCGATCTTGATACTCATGCCTTTGAAGTACACAAATATGATGGTCACATACATGATGAATTCGACAATGATAGCGAGACACAACGATCTTACTATGAAGAACTTTCAGCATTTCTCAAAAAACGTCTCGGTGCCTCTCGAGTAGTTGTTTTCAATCATGTATTCCGGTATCGAGGTCCATCACGTCCGATCGATCAATGCGATGTGAATCACAAGCATCCTGCTGTTTATCCACATGTGGATTATGATAGGTCCGGTGTTCGCTTGAAAATGAAAGAAGTCCTTGGGGAAGAAGAAGCGGAAAAATTGATGCAGAAACGATGTCAAGTGATCAATATCTGGAGACCGATTGGATCCAATGCTATCACAAAGAATCCTCTGACTCTTTGCGACTATTGTTCATTAGATGTCGAGAAGGATATTCATTTCTCAGAGATTCGAGGATCCAATTTTACCCTTTCGAACTATGTAGTCTCCCACAATGCCGAAGATGCTCAAAAATGGTACTATTTGAGTGATATGCGGTCGAACGAAATGTTTGTCTTCAAAATCTTCGATACTGATTCACATGTTGCTCAGTTTTGTGCTCATACAGGATTTATCAATGATCTCGTACCTGCAACTGATGCCCAACAGATTAGCATTGAAGCACGCTGTCTTGTTTTTTACGATTAATAAAAAATAAATTAATTATTTCTGCATTTCGAGTGTTCATACAAAAAGTAGATCGATAGAATAGAATTAGATAGATTCATAGGACTTTTTATATGATAATAGAAATAAAATGTAGGGTGTGGGTGTAGATGATATCAACACCCAAGCCAACACTAACACCCACACCCTCGTTTGCTTGAAATATAGGTATGGGCAAAAAATCTCAGCTGATCAAAGTGCAGTTAGATTTCCGATTTCAAGTTTCACTTGTGAAGCAATCAAGATTTATGTCGACATCATTGGTATGATTCGGAAAATTGTTTCACTCTTTCTTTTTTTTAATTCTAAAAACTCAAAATGAGTTGAACATCAATCGAATTCCTTTTCGATAAAAAACAATGATCCATGAACCAATCACATGGAGATTCGTTCAGGTATTTTACTACAGCGGGTTTTTTATTTTCATTGCTTTGCAAACATCATACTGGAAGTCATTCGAAAAAAAAAATCATCGATAAAAAAACTCAAACAAGAAAATATTTTCTACTTTTTCGAATCGAGTCAATAGTCAAAAATAAAGAACAACTATTGTCAACTGTCAAACGACAAAATGAATATTTCCACGAAGTTCAAAATGAGTTCGACAAAAAATAGTAAAAATAACATAGTCATTAATTAATGGAGTCAAAAATCTAATTTCGAACATCAGAACAGAATTTTTCAATAAATTTGATTTGACATATTGTTAATATGAACACAAAAAAATAAGACAATTTCAATATATAAATAACTAATAAATCATATGTAATGTTCTAAAAGAAACCAGAAATTTCACTTTTTTCTTCACATCGTTGGCATGGTAAGCTGACACCATACGTACCTAGAAAACCAGTTACAATCTTCTTCAAAAACATCATTTTCACAAAATGAATAATAATACGTTGTTGCATCATTCGATAGAAGCATTCGAAATAATTCTTGTGTATGACCTAATTTTTCATTTTTATCGATTGTGTTCCTTTTTTCTATCCATTCTTCGAAATCTTCATCATCTAATACGTTTGAATAGCTAAAGATTTAAATATAACATCAATTTTAATGTACAAAAATGAAGTGAAAGAGCAATTAGCTAAATGAATTATTTACCTAGGACATTTCATGATACATCAGCGTAATTTATCACAATCGATCATTTGAAATCCATCTGTGTTTTTAGCATTTTTAACAAGCCATTTTGAAAAACAAGGATTGACAGAACATTTTTGATTTTCGCCGAAAAAATATTCAAGATGATTAAACATATTTCGACAAGATGAACCGCATCCACATGATGAATTACATTCACTACCATATTTAAAGCATGAACAAGAACGTTTTGAACATCCTTTAGTACATTGACATTTGTCACTTTTTTCATAATTTGGATTTTTCTCTGTTGTTTTTCCACTCATTAGACCTATATTTTGATGTGCATCTTCCTCCGAATCTTCATCATACCACATTGTTGATATTGTCTTAATTACACAATAGATAAATAAAGTTTTTCAAAATTAAAAGAATAATTGAAAATATGAACCTTACATAATTATTTGAAGCTTTAGTCGTTAGATAACAAAAATACAAAATGTTTTTCTTCTTTTTCCCTCCTTTTTGAACGTCTTATATATACATGATTTGGTATAATACAGACAGTCAATTAGAATATTCTGAGAAAATTTATTTATTGATTCGAATTTTGTATAATATTTATGAGTATAGTATGTTATTTACATTATTTTATTTGAGCAGGTACCTATAAAACAGGTAAATCTTTGAAATGAAAGATGATGCTATGGAATGGTCTTTAAGTTCATTGAATATCAATGAGATGGCCTCATTCTATTTCTGATGAATCAATTTTCAGCAATTATAGCAGAATTCTCTAATGGTCGAACTAGTCATAACAACATGATCTCTCTTGTATACATGTTATCAGCATGATCGAAGTATTTTCGTTTTCATTATGAAGAACTAAATTCAGAGATGCCGTCTCAGTGAGTAAACAAACTATTCGAAGGTGAATAATCGTTACAAGAGTGATGTGACTAAACGTAAATGATCTCGCACAATACAACATAAATATCAAATTAATAGATTGAATACCATTCTAAGGGCATATCATATAATAGAAAGCAATTCTATTTCGTAGCATACATTTTATCTGAAAGTTAAAAGTGCAAAGAATATGTTCTTGACTAGAGTATGATTTATTTGAAATAAACTATTACATGAACAAGCAAGCCTTTTGCTGCTGTTATCATATGAAATATGTTCGAGTAGACTGTTTCGTTCACAGTTGTTTTCGAATATTTTCAAGTAAAGTTTCGAGATTTTTCGGATCTTTACCAAGCTTTTCGATGATGATTGTACGAGTCTTTTGTACAAAACCGTGGCACATAGATACAAACGCATCAAAACGAGTCTCAAGTAGAATTAGTATAATACCCGAGATGAGTACTGGTATATCAGCAGGTATCGATTGAAAATTTGCTAAAGGTTTGCCTGTTAAATGTCGAATGGATCCAGCATCCAAATGCCAAAGACCATTAAAATTTTGTTTATCAATTAAGTGACGAACAATATCATGATCGTTCGATGGCCATTCTGATGGGTTAGACTGGGTTGGAACATTTCTTGTATGCTTATTCGAACGGTTAAGAAAATAGCATTTCCAATTCGGTGGTGAGCACGACCTTGACCTTGATCTTCTTCGGTTTGACCGTATCTATCGATAACCAGCACTACATGAGCATTGTTTCCATCTGTTCGTTTTTCGATACCGATAAAGGCTGTGTGTGGACTCAAAATCTTGTGTTTTAATGACAATTCAATAATACGTTTCTTTTCGATTTCTTTTAATTTCGATATTGTCAAATCGTTTGATTCTTCTACATTGTCCTGGAAACGAGATTGTCGACTGCCAACTGTCGTTCTTTTAGCAGGTAGTTTAGCGTGTTGCAATTCCAAAATGAGTGCTTTGGCTGCAAGACGTGTAATCATTCCATTTTCACTTATACTAGGTATTCGACTGATTCTTGCGACACTCAGTTGTTGTTGATCAACTTCAAGTTCAATTGATGAGTTATGATCGAATGAAATCGACTTGTCATCTAAGAGACCATAGACAATTAAACAATCTTTAGCATAGACTGGTTGTAATTGATTTGGAATAGTTTCCACAACGGCTGTGCTAAAATTCCATTTCACTCCTACATTATTAATGCATTGTTGAAGAGCTTTTTGCAATTGTTTTCCAACGTAAACATCAACAGTGCTATTCGGAGGAATAAAAACAAATCGACCATTTGTTGATCGTGCAAGACCTTTGACTAACGAGCGACTAGGCGAATGACCCAAATCGAACGAAAAAATTCGCGTTGATGAAGCCATCGAACGACACAAGTCTAGTACTTCGGTAACATTGGAAATCTCACCGTCAGTAAGAAGAAAGATCTGACGATATTGTCCTTGAGTTGGTGCATGCTGTTCAAGCCATTTGAGAGGTTCTAACTATAAAATAACATTTTTTGTAGATTATATCAAATAAAAAAGTTGTGTAAGATATACTTACAAGTTCAGTACCACCCAAATCGGCTTTCATAGTCTTGACAAGCACTTCAGCTTGCCGAGCATTGTCTTCGTTGTAAACTACAGTAATTTCATTGAATAGTGTCACATATTCTGATCCAAAACGAATAATATTGAAATGACACTTCATCGGTAAACTTTTCAGAAAGAACAAGGTTGCTTGTCGAGCTAGTCCAATCTTATTCTCGTCACCCATGGATCCGCTACAGTCTACAGTGAAGATAAATTCATTTGTTTCATTGCCAAATTTGGTTACACGTTGACAATCGTCTTCTGTAGGCATGAACGTAGCCATGGCTGCACCCAATTCAATGGTTGCAATGAAAGTATCGTGTTTTTCAGCAAGTTCAATATTAATTAGAATATCACGATCTAGATGAGTATTTTGTTGGACGAATTTCACTGTGTAACAAAAGATCGATTTCAATCGGATGCGATGAGGAATTGATGCGTGCAATCTGTGTACCACCCAAGTTTTCCACTTGACAGCAGAATTCGATTGTATACGGACTTGTTTGGACGTACTGAGCATTCGTACCTGCTGGTGAGCTTATTCCACCCCTCTCAGGATCGTATCAGGGTGCAATAGTCGTCGGTACTACGAATCGAATGATGGAATCTTGAACAAGGTCCAGTTCGCTAATATACGAGATCGTGATTGTACATTCTTTCGACGGAAGCAATGCACCAACGTTGATAATGAAGTTATCTTGTGATTTTTCATCTTAAGATATGCTCCATGGCCTTGTTCTAATGCTTCCGTATAATATTTTTGTGCTTCTTTCTTTTCTTTCAATTCAGCGACAATTTCTCGATTATCAATGCGAGCTATAAATGCATAAATTGCTGCTTGTTCTTCGATTGGAAAGCAATAAACAGCTTCAATCGGTATTGTTTCATCATTGCTAAATACTTGCGTAATTGTCACATCAGCTGCAAATGAACGAATCGTACTAGGGATATTCACATTTTTGAGAGGAACGATTTGTGTTAATTGATTAGTTTGATTCACAGTTTGTAACATAGGTTTTAATGATATTTTAAAAAAAGATACATTTACAATATAAAGAAGAATAAATGTGTGACTGTTGTTTTTTTGATCACTCGCTCTATTTATTGACGGAGTGTCTTGCACAAGTCTATGTCACAACGGACAAATGAACAGAACGAGACAAAATGAGTCGTTCAAGTCGTATTTGTTAATGTAAAAAAGAAGTGAATCATGAGATGTCTGAAGGTTGCAGTGTAGCGATATGTTGGCAAGCCGAAATTTCGTCGGAGTTTTGACTATTGAATTTCGACACAAATTCAATGTTGCTCAATTTTTACCAAAAAATTGCACAAGGTACGTAGCAATTGAAACTATAATGAGTCAGTTACATTTCAATTAATATGACATCGAACCGTTAGATTGTTGTTGCAGATCTACTTGCTCTTTCTAAACATGGTTCTTTCCTTCTACTATTGTTTGTTTTCTCTATATCGCTTTTTTTTCTCGTTTCTTAATTTTATCAGCAGAAAAGAAATGAGAAAATGATGTTTTGATTGTGTTTCTTGAAGCAATCCAGAATTTTCATCGACAAAGTTTAAACTTTCTCGAAAATAATTGATTTTTTAATAAAAAAAAATCGATGAGCTTCGAGTAGTCAATATTCCAGGTACTCTCGAAAGTTTTGTGAAGTTCAAGAAAATTTTCGTTTTCTATATCTGATGTTTTTCGAGTTCTCGATATCTATCCGATATTTCTGCTAAAGAGATGATTCGAACTTATGTACTTGGAATTATGAAGCTTATTCTTTTAATCTTAGATATATTATAAACGAAAACAATTCTATCCGTGATAAGTTTCATTGTATTAAATAGAAGATTTATACGAAAGCATAAATTATATTGAAATTGATTAGACTATATGAAAAAAGCAATAGTAAAATATTGAAACTAGATCAACAACAATTTCGACATATCTATTTCGATTAAATTTAAAATCATCAATTATCTCAGTAGTTTTGAGGATTAGGAAAACAAATAGGCCGTCGTAAATGATCCCGTTCATTAGATTATAATTGTATTTTCATCAAGACCGTAAACATATTTCTTTCATGGCTCTAGTTGTAGATTAGAAATAACATTGTTTAAACCATAAAATCATGTAAAAGTATATAGCAAGCAAAAATCCTTCAATGAGAATAGTGCAATAAGAGTAAAAAAATCATTCGAAAACCAAATTTTGAGAAAGTTTTTAGTGATCAAAGCTAAAACGAGCAGTCGAAACTATATTGTTTTGACGTCTTGATGAGCTTCGACTGACCTAAACCTGTTTGAGAAGTAGAAAATAAATATGCGCTGGGAGGGGACCTCCAAGGACGTGAAATTCGAACAAAACGAGAAGAAAGTATATTTTTTCAAGTTTTGACCACTCGTCGCACTCGTCGTTGGCTTTTCAAGGTTTGTTTGGAATGGAAATGTCAAAAACTTATGTGTAGTGAATTTTTGATTCGATTTAGTTTCTGTAATAAATGATTCAAAGTAAAAGTTTTCTTTTTTTTTTCTCAAAGTTACTGCTTGTTATATCTGCTATATAAAAAGCATCTCGAATTGTATCGCCTCTTTGACACTCCATATTTATCTTTCCTATAATGAGTTCTATAAATGGCCTTTATGTCTCCAAGTACTCGTGTAAAAAAAGCAAGAACTTGGCAACAAGAGGTACACAAGAACTAGTTCAAGTCACTTTCAAATACTTATGACTATGTTCATTGATTCACTACTGCATCCCTTATGTAATCTAGGTGTGAGTGAATAGATGAGGGTTTGAGTATCCATTTGACATCCACTTATCATACACATTTATTGGCAATGTTAGTCATGAAGACAATCATTTAGTATACCAGTACATCTAGTAGTATCAAACTTGAAAATTGAATTCATCAATTTATAATTTAAATATTTGATGAGTTAATCATATAGAAACAATGGTCATGTGATAAAAATTTTCATCCAAATCATTGTTCCTGAATAAATATTGATATATGAATATATAATACTCTTGATATAGAATCGAATAACAGAAATAAAGCCACTACAAATAGACAGACAAAATATTTGTTGAGCGGATGAAGTTGAAAGACATAAAACATTCATAAAAAAAAACTTCCATTATTACGAAATTGTTTCCTTAACAATCTGTTATTTTACTGGGAAATGATGATTATTGTTTTTTGTAAATATAAATACATCGTTCATGTGATGCTAATTGAGTTTATTTTACGATGTATATAACTATACAAAAAAGAATTTTATCCCTTAACCCAGAAAAGTCTATTTGTTTGAGTTTTTTCTTATTAAATTCCATGCAAATTAACACTTTCTTTGGTTAAGACGACCATATCATTGTCATTCCATGAAAGAATATCTTCAAGTCGTTGATGTTGATCGTATTTATCTGATTTTAAACGTTGTCCATCAGTTGAAATATAATAGAATCGACAATCATCATGATCCATAACTAACCATTGAACAACAACGACAACGTCCATGAATTCGAACTGACCAAATACATTTCGAATGTTGTTGATGAACGTAAATCAAAACGACTTTCTTCTTTATATTTATTAAAAATAGGCACAGTAAGAAAATTGTTTTTATATTTCAAATCACAAATAATTTCATCTTTTTTACATGTAATAGATGAATACCATTCTTTGATGAATTTAAACGATAATCGAAGATTAAATTCATAGACTAGTGAATCTCATTCTGCTGTTGATAAGTATAAACTATCTTCTGAAGATGTTTCACGGCATCAATTTTCATTAGATGAAATCGAACACTTTTTTAATATCATTGTATTTGGATCAATGGTGTTTCATTAACAATTCTTAAATTTTGATCAAATTGCTCGGCAAATCTTATGTTAGAATAAAAGCGTCAAAAAGAAAATCTACTTTTAGATTATTAAAATGATTTCACAATACTTTTGCTTGACTATCAATCAAAGTTGAATGACTCAAATAATACGTAGTGGGTTTACGTCAACTCGATCTAGTACATCATGCCATCCTCGTGCAAATTCTTTTCGAAGCAGATCTTCTTGATAATGATGTAAAAAAAAAATGCTATTATTTTCTATACAGAACTTTCTTGAACATTAATCAAAATATACTTATTCGAACTTTGATAGTATCGATTGGTCATATGATGAACTTATAAATATTGATTTTCAATGACAAATGACATTGAATGAAGCAATATTTACTGATGCTTTATTGAAAGGTACGATATTTAATTATAGAACAACGAATATCTACATCATCGATATGTGAGAGCCTCTTTATAGGCATTGTTTTAATTCATGCACAAATTTTTTACAAGTGCTCCTTATATGTTTGACACCATGTTCGAGCGAATGAAGTTTTCATTTGTAAATTTAACTGAATGTAAACGAGTAACAGATCAACAGATATTGACGAAAATAATTCTATATCAAACGGCTTTGTCTAATAAAACATTTGTTGAAGGAGACTGAAGATGAATTTCGCTGAATCAAGTCACTTGCCTACAAATAAATTGTCGACTAGTCGTTCACCAGTAATACCATCTAAGATTTCTAATGTTTTCAAATCAGATTTTCATGCATCACAGCGAACATCATCAGCAGCGATAAGTTCTCCTTCTCAACAAATCCAATTGAAGAACGATGAGACTCATCAAATGAGCCATTAACCAATAATTGATGATGAAGTTATTACTAATGATAAATCGGGTATTGTTTGTTATATTATATTAAATATCATTCGAAAAAAAAAATATTAGACGAATGGATCGAAATTATTCTATGTGATATTCAAGGTTAAAATGGTGAGGAAATAAAAATGCATATAATGTGTATTTATGCGACTTTTAGTTTTTAGATGTTTCATATGAAGTTACTTGTTATTTTGAAACTGAACCAAAACGTTATCTGTTTTATTGACTGACTATAATTCACCGTCTGTCGCCAAATGGTGCTGCTAATACTAGTTGTGATATATCAACATACAAAAAAGCTCAAACAACTTCTTTGAATGATATATCGAAATTATCTATTTCAACATCAAAACTAGTTAAAAATAAAAATTTTCACATCAATTATACATGTAGAATTTCACTTATTTACATAGGAATGATGCTGATATCATATGAGTAAATACAGCAACAGCTGATACTAACACTATAACAAATGTTCAAACAGTTTTCAGTTGAATTGTCATCATCTCAATAACTTCGTATATTTGTATATTTTAACTTCGAACAATGTGAAAGACGAGATATAATTAAACAATGATGATAATGTCAACGAATTGGAATAAAGAGAGAAAAAGGACACATGCACAACGTGCTTATAGTTTAGCTGCACTAAAGCCAATAGATACAGATGAACGATGATTTGAAGAAATTCTTCATATATAGAACTTCTTGTAGTAGTGAATTATTAAAATAACACAAGATCTGCACCAACAACGATGGTAGTCATACATATCATGATCGTCATTTACTTTAATGAAGCAGTATATTATCTTTCAATAATAATTATTATTATGGAGTCAGTGCAGTTAAGTCACGTTTCATCTATCCAACTCACCTTTTAATAGCATGTGTCAATCGTCTTTGGTTTACTGTAAAACAATCTATCATTTCATTTTATGGGAAGAAATAAACAATACACAGATTGATACAGTGAGAATTTTTTCGACTTGTGACTACCAAACAACATTATTTTCAGTCTATAACGAATAAATCATTTATTAAGGACATCTACTAACTAAAATGCACAGTAATACTCATTCAAACTGATTACAGTTAATTTTCAATCTTAATAAATGACAATCACAGTTTGTTCTCTACAGTATTTTTCTTCTTGATAATTTATATAATTTAGTAGGATATGTAATTAAAGTGTTCCGAAAGTCGATCGAAAAACAAAATGTTAATATCTCTTGAATAGTTCAAGTAATGCACATGATCATTGGAGCTCATGTCAAATCATTTCAAGTTCAGAACTAACGAACCTTTTTTTTAGTGTAGGATACGCGTTTTTACAACAGTATTGAAATGAATGTTTGGTGTAAACGTAATCAGTGATCGTTGCACTTCATCATAAGTTTGTTGAGATAAAAGCAGTTACTATCAAAGATCATTAACCATTGTGCTTGAGTTTCTCTTTTTTCCATGTCTCAATGCAAAGTCTCTTGCTCCATTATTGCTCATGACATAAAGATTTTTCTAATGATAAATTAGATCGATCAAGGATAGAGTGTAGATGTGTATCTTCTCTTTCCAGTCAGCAATATTCACATATCCACACCCGCTCGACTCATTTTCAGGTATTCATCGAATAATAAACAAGAAAAGAAATATTCCTTTGTTTACATATTGAATTTTCAAGTAAACTCGACTTTTGTGACATGTTTATAGTAAGCGACTATTTTTTTGGAAAGTCAATATGTCAATAAAGGAATATTCTGAGGATCATTGGATCTATCTATAAGCAAAATTTTAGGTTGAAATTAGGTTTGTCGATTTTTCGATAAATAATTAAAAATGGGTCGGAAATTTAGCAAAACGTTGATAACTTGGTGCCAAAAGTCCATGGGCACGAATCTTTTTAGGCTTTTACTAGTTTCATCGATACCTCCTTGTGGATCCAATATGAGCTCAAACGGTAGGTATCAGTTGCGATGGTTTCCTCATCAGATCATTTTATCTCGTGCCTTCTCTCATTTAACATTCTTTCTCTTACCCTAATTGATAATGTTGCAACAGTTATGTAGATGAGAGTTTCTTTGTTAAGAAACTCTGCTCACTTTTAAATTTCGAGTCAGAAGAGACTGCTATCATGAAATCTCAAGTAGAAAAGGCTTTGTAAATATGAATTTTTCACAAGAGTCGAGCAGCCATTAAGATAAGAACTGACACAAACAGAAGAGATACAGGACAGTGCAAGACTCATGTTTGACGAGAATGTTGTTTCTCTCTTAGATGATCTATTAATCAATGACTACCGTTCAACGAGCGATGTTATTCACCCAGGAGCAGCTGTGCTGATTTCGATTGATGATCACATTGTTTATCAACGTTGCATCGGCTTTGCCAATATATGCAAGTCAGAAGCCATTACCTGTAATACCAACTTTCGTCTGGCTTCATTGTCCAAGCAATTTATAGCGTATGGGATCGTTTTACTTGAAAATCAAGGTAAACTTACCCGACAAGACACTCTGGCATCTTTTTTCTCCTCGGAATTCAAACAAAGATGTCCACAGCTAAGCAAAACAGTCTGCATACAGCATTTACTAGATCATTCATCTGGAGTAATGGACTATGAAAATTGCGATCCGTTGCTTGACGGTCGTCAATGGTCAGATCATGATGTTCTGGCGATGCTCAAAGATGAGATGTATTTTGAGCCAGGTTCACAATTTCGTTACAGTAATACGGGTTACATTCTATTAGGACTTATTATTGAAGTAGCATCCGGTCAAGCACTCGGTGATTTCTTGCAAAAGTTCATCTTTGAGCCATGTACCATGCAGACGAGTATCGTTTTCGATTCGAATCATACCAAAATAACCAACCGAGCTTTCGGGTACGCATCAAAAGACGACAAACAGCACTATGTTCTCTCTGATCAAAGTCCAACAAGTGCAACACGAGGCGATGGAGGTATCTACATGTCGATCAACGACTACTTTCAATGGTATCGACACTCTCAACGAACAACATCAAACGTGTTCCCAATTCAGAATGCGTCGAACTCTTTGCCACAATACTACTCACTAGGTTGGTTTCTTTCCGATGCTAACGGACACATACGCCTCCACTCGGGTAATTCATGTGGTTTCACGCATCAAGTTTTTCGCATCGATGAAGAACAACGTCGAATTTTGGTTTTATACTTGTCAAACATAGATGCAAATGATAAACGATTAGACAACTTCTATCGTCTGATTGTCGATCAGATTCCACAGCTAAGACCAAACGGCTTAGATCTACTTCGAAGTCTGACAGAATTAACACGATAAATAGATTTGTTGCCACAGCTCAATATTAAATCCTGAAAAAGAAATAATCACAAAAGAATTTTCACAGTGCATGTACTTTTTTTGAACTTGATTGCTAGGAGCACAAAAGGCGAGACTTTCTAGATGCAATTTTAAATGAAAAATACGTCAGCCCGATCATTGTTTGATCCGTCAACCGCAGCCATGATTCCATCGTTATGTGTGTGTAAGTGTAGATGTCCGGTATTGGTCTTGTCTTAGTCCACACCCACATCCGAAACACATACAAGAGTGGTTTTTCGACAACAAATACGAATAGCAGACACTTTTTGCAACAAAACAAGAAGCTCGAGAATTCGACACACCATTTTTATTGCATCATTTTTGTCAATTTTGACATGGTATATCTCTCTGCAACAAAATGGTACACGGAGCTCCCAAGTTACTCGTTTTGTTGCAAAACGTTTCTACTATTTGCATCTGTTGTCGAAAAATCAATCCTGCATGTGTTTCAAATATCCTTGCTAAAATACTGAACTCAGATGATGTTTTCAAGCCATTTTAACTTAGTCAATAACATCCCATTTTAAATTCAAGTATAAACGATTTTTAAACTTTTCTTATGATAATGTTCTCCAGGAGTTTCTCTATCTGTATATATGACTGTCAAACAAAACTAAAGTCATCTGGATTCGAAAACAACAAAACTACGATATGGATGCTATAATTTTCCACAGATAAAAAACTGACCGATTTCAGTTAATATTTGTTTTCTCAAACTGAGTAGTAGTCGGAAGTCTAAACTGACAGAGACCGTGCAAACAACTGGAATTGAACAGATGATTCTATAATTTTTCACATCAATGTACAAAACATCAAGGTTAACCGGCAGATCCATGACACGAAATCTTCTACATGTATCGGACTTTGTTCATTTCGTTGAAGTGAGTAATTTATTAGAGTAATACCAAAATCAAAAATAAGTTTATTAAATAACTCACACATAGTACCAGTAGGATCTACATATTAGACATGATTGAGACCCACATGAAATCAATTCCAATGATCAAATTTACTTGTGAACGATCAATTGATAAATGTTTGTTAGTTAGTAGTTTTCTTGATTCACTTTGAAGTCTCCATCTCATAGAGTGTGGATATGTATCTTGTCTTCGTGAACGCCCTCATTCTCATGCAAATTTGGCACTTAAGTAAAACTAAACAATGTGTTTTTTAAAGATTTAAAAATTAAAAATAATCGAAAAACATAAGAATGAAGTTTAGATTATTATTTTACATATAAACAATAGTAAATTGACTATATTTAACCCTAGTACTACCAGCCTAGATCATTGTTGATCCGTACATAAAAATGCGAAAATATACTAAAAATATTTTGTTATATCCTGATTTTTGGAAGCAATTAGTATTCAGGAAGATGGTGAGTCACGCTCCTCTACTAGTATCTCTTACAAATACTCACACTCACAACTTTAGTTATGCTTGCTCGATTTGAATAATTATTTTAATTTTTAAAAGTGCTTAAGACAATGATTTCAAACGTGGAAAATGGTATCTTCAATAGTTTCAGCGGCTATACAACGGCGAATAACTGCATTATTTTCACTGTATTTTCCCACAATCTCTCATTTTCTTTTACAGGCTGGGTTTTTTAGTTATCGAAAGACTATCTTTTGTCTGATTACTTTCACCGTTTTATAGAATTCAGGAAAATATCCACATAATAGCAATAGATTTCGTCATTTATTTTGAACTTGGATACGATGAGAATGTCAAGGTCTGAATTAACCCATTCAACCCGATTCTATTTTCTTAAAATTCTGTGCATTCATACTCATACAAATGTACTTGTTAGCCTTTTCATTATATGCTGCCAGTTGTTTTTCTTTTCCTTGTTTATATGGTTGTGTACCTCATCGCCGAAAATAAGATCATCGAAAACTCATGTCGCCGAAAGCACATGTAATTTTAGCGAAAATTTGCATGTGATTTCGGCGATGTGCGTTTTCGGTGATCATATTTTCGGCGATGAGGATTCATACCGTTTATATCATTATATAAGCGGTCCTTTTTTATGTCGAACTGAATAATTACTCAAGTTTGTTTCTTTCTGTCTTATGTATCTTGTGCAGTAGTGACGAGATAACAAAACAAAGTTTCGGTTAGCCGCTGATCACACGCTCGAAGAAAATGAAGTATCTGCACGCACTGTCCGTAGGCGCTGTGCCAGCTGTTAAGAGAAAATCAGGCAACAATAATCAAGAGAAGTGAGCACGGCGATAGCATAGAAAATAAAAACCTTCTATTCTGATTGTGACAGATTTTTTTGTCCTAATGGTTGTAAGGAGAAGCATTACACTATGTAATAAACAATTCAAAAAATAGTAAAGGCAGAGCAGATGACACATAATGTGTAATATACCACCTAAGAAAAAAGGAAAAGAAAGTGTTTTTCTATTAAGCTTCTTGTTAAAATATAGTGAGATCCACCGGTGGGTCTCATCGGGTCGAATGGATTAAAATATAAATTCGATTACTTTACTGTTTGTCAAACATTGTTTTATTCTTCATTTAAATTATGTTATTTCTAAACTAATCCATTATTTATTTTTGGTAAAAGGCAAAGACATCACATTGTCTGAAAAAACATCACATGCATGTTGATATTTACATCGCTTTCTAGAGTTGTATACATCGAGAAAAAAAAAGACGCATATAGCAAGTAAAATGTCTTTCGTAACAGTATAAAAATATCAAAATAATAATTTATTTTAAAAGTTATTTTTGTTTTCGTCTAAGATTTTTTTTAAAAAAGAAGCAGACGATGAAGAATTTTATCATTATTTTTTTACTTGTCTCTTCATTTCAATTTTCAACATCAACAGAAGGAGAAATTTTAATTAATTATAATATAAGAAATAACAATAATGATGATTTACAAGAATTAGAAAATTATGAAACTGAAGTTGATCCTAATGATCATGTTAATATTGAATTATGGAATAAATTAAATGAAGAAGATATGAAACAGATGCCAGAAATTAATGATTATTCAAATGAAATTATTGCACAAGAATGGTTAAAACGGTATCTTCGCATAGCAGAACGATATAGTCAAGTAAGATAAGAAATATAGTTCCATTAATTTATTATTTTATATTATTTAGATAAATATTCTTCTCGAATGGAATTATGATACAAATATTACTGAAGAAAATCAAAAAGTAATAACAGCTCAAAGTCTTATTACAGCACAATTTAGTCGTTTAGTATTACCAATAGCAAAAAAATTTAATGAATATATGAAATATTCAAAAAATGATGATTTAAAACGTATATTTGGTCGTTTAGCATCAAGTATATTTAGTAATAATGATGATGATGTAAGAAAAACTTCTGAATTATATGGTCAATTAGGAGATCTTTATTCAACAACAAAAGTTTGTGAATTAAACGATGATAAAAAATGTTATACACTTGCACCATATTTAGAACGATTAATGCAAATTGAAAAAGATTATGATCGTTTAATATGGGCATGGAAAGGTTGGCATGATGAATCTGGAAATAAAATTCGTCCAATTTATTTATCTTATATTGATTTATTGACTAAAGATGCTAAAGAAAATGCATACGATGATTTAGTTGTAAGTTCTTTTATTTGAATAATTTTGAGTCAAAGCTATGTACATCATGTAGGTTCTAATGAGCTATGGATATATACTAAAAAAAGTTCAGGCTAATAGCTTATTGCTACCGAGATGCTCTGTTCTTTTAGCACAAGACACCGTGATTCTTCTCAAAAAAACATCAGAAAAAGTAATTTTCGAGGAATTTACTATTTTGTATGGGTAGCGTAAAACATATGCTCTTACCACAGCTTTATCTTAAGATAGAAGCAATCAAAAGAGTTCCAAATCTAAATTTGAAAATCAATTTTTCTGGCATTTCCGAGATAGATCACGACATTCTACTTGCATGTAAAAAATCATTGCATAACATGTTTATTTGATTTTCGTTCATTTATAGATCACAGAAGATAATCAAAAATATTCAGCTAAAATGAAATAAATCAAAAATGTTGTTTCTACCGCACAAAATAAACTTTTTCCATCATATCCAGTTTATCTCAAGAATATTTTAGGAAAGTTTTTGAATTGTTTTAGAAAATTTAATGTTCTATAAAATTACGAGTTGTAATAAGCTAAAACTAATAAAAGAATTAAAATATACAAATAAGTTTAGAAATACGACACTTTAGGTCAGATGAGGAATTTCAACAAAACATTTTTTTTCAAATTTTAATTCTCACAGTTTGCAACAATAGGTAGAAAGCAAAGCTAATATTGAGCCTTCTGTAGAGCTAGCTTCGTTCTACAAACTTGTATATAGAAGAATTTTCTTATAATTCGAATTGAGGCGATTTTAATCAAAAATACAAAAACAGGCTAGATGAGAAACTCTGTACGAACGCCGATTTTTTTTTCTCGATAAAATATCTGCTTTCATTGAATCGATTTCAAGTCAGAAAAAAAAATTCTGAATATATATTTAGAAAGAGCATGAAATTCTCATTTTAACTAACTATGGATGAAAATCGATTAGATATGTTGTGCAATAATTTTTTACACGTAAGTTACTAGCCAAAATTATTTTTATTACATGCATAACTCATTCGAACATGCAATAACGCCCAGACTTTCGACTTACAAAGTAATTTGACACTGAGAAAACTTTCCTCGTAAGTTCTATTACTTTATTAGAATGTGTCATTCCAGTTTCATTTATATACTTAATTTATTTTCATGAAGATCGTATAACGATAAGTTCCGATACAAAAAACCGAGATATAAATCAGCAGTAATATTGCTTATACAAAAAAAAAACACTAGATTTATCAAAATATTTTTGAATATAACAGCACTGTTTCACACAATCGAAAAAGATATAATTATAAAAATAACAGAATATAATCAGACATTCAAAGAAAAGGTAAAAGGATATAGACACACCTTCACAAAATTATGCACTTGTGACGCCATCTTATGCTTTGAGTTATATTAGGGAAAAATAATATTACATTACACAGAGGCCAACGACTTTGTGTTGATCTGGCGTGTAGTGGTAAATATGTTTTTTTTGTTAGGAATATTGGATTCAAGATTATGAAATGGGTAATGTTACCGAATTTGAAGGTATTATTGATCAAATCTTAAAAGATACTATGCCATTATATGAACAATTACATGCATATGTTCGAGGTCGTTTATGTTCAATGTATCAAAATCGTTTTAATTGTAGTGGACCTATTCCAGCTCATATTCTCGGTACATTTCTTATTTTTTGATTATTCATTTATCTTAATTCAATTTTAAAATCTTTATAGGAAATATGTGGGCTCAAACATGGAATGATCGTTTTGATGATGTTATTCCTTATCCTGATGCTCCACTTCTTAATATGACAGAAGTATTAATTGAAAAGAATTATTCTGTTCATCAATTGTTTACAATAGCTGAATCATTTTTTACATCAATTAGTCTTTATCCAATGACGCCAAAATTTCGGGCTCGTAGTATGTTTGAAAAACCAACTGATCGTGATGTTATTTGTCATGCAGCTGCATACGATATGGGATATCATGATGATTATCGTGTAAGAATGTGTACTGAAATTAATGATGATCATTTTTATACAATTCATCATGAATTGGGTCATGTAGAATATTTTATGGCTTATGGTAAAAATCAACCATATATTTATCGAAGTGGAGCTAATGCAGGCTTTCATGAAGCTATTGGAGATATTATTGGTACGTTTGCAGGTAAGTTTTCTTTATCATCTTTTTTTTTATGAACTTAGTTTAATGTTTGATATTCTATTAGTTTCACCGGCACATTTAATAAAATTGGGTTTTCTTGATGAAAAAGATGTGAATTCTCATTATGAAATCAATTTTCTATTACGTTTAGCTTTACAAAAAGTTGCTTTTCTGCCATTTGGTTATGTTATGGATAAATATCGATGTTTACTTTTTCGTGATCAAATTGATCGTGAACAAGAATTAAATTCTCAATGGTGGGCACTACGTATTAAGCATGGCGGTATAATGGCAGCTGTACCTCGAAATGATAAAATAAATTTTGATGCCGGTGCAAAATATCATATACCATCAAATGTTCCTTATTTAAGATATTTTATTGCTCATATTCTTCAATTTCAAATTTATCGTGCTATGTGTCGATTACATGGTGTAACAGAACAATTACATATGTGTGATATATATGGAAATGAATATGTTGGAGAAAAATTTAAGGAAATGTTAGCTATGGGAAATTCAAAACCATGGTCAGAAATTTTAGAGAGTTTAACAGGAGAAAATAAATTAGAACCACAAGCTATGTTGGATTTTTTTCAACCATTATATAATTGGTTAAAAACAGAAAACGTAGCAAGAGGTTATCCAGTTGGATGGATGTAATACGATATATATAAAATTGGTCATCAGAACTCAACTATGTCTTTCTATCACAGTGATTTAATAAATATTTAATATATCTATTTAGCAGATTCCACATACTTCTATCGAATATATATATAGAGTGCGAAGTGTGAGCGTGGGTGTGGATAAAGAAAAGGTTAGCACTCACATCGACATCCGTACTCCCAACCCACACCATCAACTCAAACGAAAAACTTTAACAGTAGCATTGATCGAAACATTTTCGATTTCAGAATAAGCTCATGTCATATGTACGCTCCTCAAAAATCTTTGGCAATCATTCCAGTGGTATCAATTTTTTAGTTGCCAGTATTTGAGCGTGGAATTCTTTGAGCGATCTGAAGTTAAATTTGACTAATTTTACTTCGATATTTTGCAATATCTTGATGATCTGGATAAACGTCGCCCATGTTATGGAAAATCGATGCACATGCTGGGTGTTCAGAGTCGCCTTTTTGACAATAGATTTGGTTTGCTTTTTCATAATATGCTAATGCTTGATCCCAATTTTTCATTTCATATTGAACTAGTCCCATGTTATTATATACCAGAGCAAAATCCATATGACCAACTGGTAAGGATATTTCCATACTTGCAAGCAATTTTTCAAAATAGTCAAGTGCCTGTGTTTGATCTCCTTGTTTTTGATATATGAGACCAATATTGTTTCGTAGGTTTGCTGTTGTCAGATGATGTTTAGGTAAACAGATGAGTAAAATTTCAAGAGCTTGTTGAAGATTTTCTAGAGCATTATCATATTGATGATTGTCAAAATGTAATAGACCAATGTTATTATATGTATTGCCACTATTCGGATGATATTTTGGTAGTGAAAGTAATTTATAATGAAGAGCTTTTTCCAAATGATCAAGTGCTTGTTTATAATCACCTCGATCAGTATAAACCATGCCCATATTATTATAAGTTGTTCCAACAGCTGCATTTGTTGCTGGCAAAGACAACAGCTCGATACTAAGAGCTTGTTCATAGTTTTCGAGAGCTTTGCCATACGTTCCTCGATTGTAATAAATCATACCAATATTTTTATACGTTATAGCTAGATATGGATCATCAGATTTCAGATTTTTTAAATCTAGTTCGAGACCTTTTTCCAAATATGTTGTTGCTAAAATCCAATCACTTTGATATATGCATAGGACACCTAAATTATTGTATACTTCGACTCGATGAGGATGATCATCGGGGAAGTTGTTTGAGTAATATTTCATAATAGCGTTTACGTTTGTCATATTCATCCATAGTACCAAGAAATTCTCCTAGCTGTAATAAGGTCGATGATTCATCAATTTCTTGTTTGAAATATGTTATTAACTCATTTGTTTTCGTCTCTTGATCACATTTGACAGTCAATGACACATACCAATGGCCACTGGGTGATGGTTCAACATCATCTATTTAAAAAATAAAACCCATAGATAGTAAAACTTCTTCGTCGTCTCGATAGTTTGATTTGTCACTTAGACTGACTAAAGGCTTTTTAACAATAGTTGTGTCAATATTAATTTCAAATACAACTGATTCATATAATGGACGTCCACTACAATCTCTAGCAAACATCAATGCCACATTATATAAAGTTGTTGTTGAAAAGAATGTATTAATTGATATAAGATTACCAATATTCATTTTAATTTTTTCTAATTCATCGGCATTTATTATCATTCCTCGATAGACAGTGAGAATATCTGAAGTTTTCACTGACTGATTGTAAATATTCATCATTTGATTGTGTAGATCAAAAATGACAAATCGAAATTGAAGGGTGGGTGTGTGGACGTGGGTGTGGTTGTAGGTGTGGGTGTGGGTG